ATCCTGAACTCAAAAGTGATGAAGAAATAAGAGAGATGCAAATTAAAACAACTATGAGATATCATCTCACCCCAGTCAGAATAGCAAAATTTAACAGAACAGCAAGCAACAAATGCTGGCATGGTTGTGGAGAAACTGGAACCCTTATTCACTGTTGGTGGGAGTGTAAAATGGTGCAACCACTGTGGAAGGCGGTATGGCTCTTTCTCAAAAAGTTGCAAATAGGGATACCATTTGACCCAGCATTTCCACTACTGGGAACATACCCCAAAGAGACCATAACCAACATCCAAGCAGATATATGCACACCCATGTTTATCATGACTTTGTTCAAAATAGCAAGGAGTTGGAAACAACCTGAGTGCCCATCAACAAACGAATGGATAGAGAAGCTCTGGTATATTTGCACAATGAAATACTGTGCTGCATTGAAAAACAAGGAACTCTTGCAATATTATTCAAAATCTGTGACCCTGGAGGACATTATGCTGAGTGAAGTATCTCAGTCACAAAAGGACAAATACTACGTGGTGCCACTGTTGTAAAACAGGACTGACATCGGGGTTGGGGAGAGACTGAGAAAGATGGGTTCAATAATGTATACTGCCTTAAAACAGATGAGGGAGAAAACTGTTTAAAAGGGATATGTGATTAGGTATTTTTGTCATGACAGGAGTTCAGAGTGAAGGCTGCATAGTGGAGTAGACCTGGGGGAGGGTTTGTAAAACAATGAAAGAATTTTTCTTTTACTTTTCCAAGAGGGTAGTGTACTAGGGTGGAGGGTTGGGAGGAGAGAAAAGGGCAACAATGAATGAATGGAAATCCAAAGTCTCTGTAAATTTTCATTGAAATTAATAACAAATTTTTTTTAAAAAAGTGTGTGAGGCCCATGTTGGGCTTTAGACTGATGCTACCATGTTGCTCAGAGGCGGCGGAAGCAGTGTTCTGAAACAATGCGCTAACGTACCCCGCAGTGGGCTTCCATAGGCTATGCTGAGTGGAGGAGACTGTCCCCCTGCCTGTCAGAGCCCCTGCAGTGAGTAGGTTCTGGGATGGTGCTGCCAGGAGGCCTGCATACTCCCATAGTCATCTGAGATAAGGGGCTGGATCTGTGTCGTGTAGATGCCAAGAGAGAGGGCACCTTGCAGTAGTGAGGACAGTAAGCGGGGTCAAGCCAGTGTCCCTGAGGACAAGGTGCCCCTGTGGATCCCAGCCCAGCACGGACAGCACCACTGTTCTGTGTCTCACAGAGTGAGCCCATACGTGTGTTGACAGAAGTGGGAGAGGTGACCACCACTCCTGGCTCATGGCTGGCCATTCTGGGTCAACACTGAGCATGCTTGTTCAGGTGCGCTGCGCATATCAGCTCCGTAGGCAGGTCTCATTCCTAGGCCACAGCCCCTGGCACCCCAACAGTGTCCACCACCACCACCACCCAGCCCTGACTACAGGTGAAGAGGAGGGTCCCATACCACACCTCCGCTTTGGCAACCCACATGGCAGCCGTGAACTCTGGCCCTTCCCCACCCCCAGCATTTCAAACATGTGAGTGGTCCGTGCCTGTGAGAGGGTCATCTGACCCGTTGAGACACTGCATGTCCGTGCCTGCAGCCAGATCTGCCACTGACTGCCATGGCCCTTCCTTACCATGTACTGGCCCGTCCACTTCCTTTGCAGCCATGGGTTTGTCAGAAATTGCCTCTCTTGGGAGTTGGTCATGGGCCTGAGTGGCTTCAGAAGGCCCATGATCTGTATCACATCGTTCGCAATTGACCTTTTATCCTCTGTCAGCACTGACAATCGTAAGGACTCACCTAGGGTTCCATCCAGGCTGCTGCCTAACCCCTACACACTCTGGAAGGGGCCCTGTTCGGAGAAGACAGACCCTAATCCTACTGGAAGTGTGGTCACTGACATCAGCCAGTGTCCCGTCTCCTAGTCAGTCAGGAGGTAGAGAGACATGTGTCCCTCCAGCGGTGTTCAGAGCCTTAAGTGCAGTGATGAGTGAGTGTGTACCGGTGGTGATCACAGGGTGAGGGCACTCAGTTTTAGCCCCTCCTCCCAGCAGGGAGACCAAGCTGAGCCCTGGACAGTGCCGCCCTCTAGTGTCGCGCACGCAGCCTGGAACCAGTCAGTGTAACTGGGCTTCTTGATGGTGCTTAGCAGAGAGCGAGCTTTGTGAGCATGCTCCCTGTGGCTGTCCCACACCTGTGACAAGGACATCAGTTGCTGCAGAAAATAAACAGGGTCATTTCTGTGATAACAAACTGGTGTCCATGGAGGTCAGTGTGTGACTGGGGAGCTCTCACCTTGCTCCCGCATCTGGTGCCTGCAGTGACTCAGGGCCTGAGGGCAGTGACAGGAATAGCTTTGCCAAGGGGACAAGAGCTTTTCCCCAGCCCCAAGGCTGGTGCTTACCGTGGGTTAGCACAGTGGGGAGTGAGCCTGGAGAGACGGCACAGGCACAGATGGCTACGGGCTCACAGTTGGCTCTGCCCTGGCCAGGACCCTGGAGGGTACATGTGGGTACATGCACCTACACACATTTGTATACTCACTATGTTCACACATGTGCTTACACTCGTGCATCTTCTCAAACATGTGTCAAGTATATTTACATGTTCACGGTGTGTACATTCATGTGCTCATTTGCACTCATACACATGAACTTACACACAGACTCTGTTTGCGCTCTCCCTCTAGTCACCTCACCCCTTAGGGATCATGATGAAAGCTTGGAGATCAGGGACTTCGAAATGAGAATGTCGAGTGCTTGCTTTAGATCTACAGAGTAGTTGGACGTTGCCATCACACAACCTTCACCATCACACACCCCTCACCACTGCACACCCCTCACCATTCGCACA